AGTTCTTTGGCTCTATAATTGATTATTCTTTTTAGGAGTCCAGATGATGAGATGGACAAAATTTTTTATTTTTATTTTTATTTAATTTGAGAGCTAATTCATAATTAATTTCAAACTCCAAATCCAACATCTTAAGTAATAGATTCTAATAAATTTGTAAGCTTTTTAAGTGTACACGTATAAACATATAGAAATTCCTATATATTAGGTTAATAACATCTAAATTCATGCTCACATGCATATATATTATTGGATGGATGGATAGCATCTAAACTGCAATCTCACAAACTTATATGAACATATCAATAGATTAAGCTTAAACATAAAGAAAGCTGCAAAATACCAAATTTATGAATTCATTGACATAAGAAATTGGGAATTTGTAACTAATAATACTCACAGAATGCGACCGAGCTTCTCATCTACAGTAATTGACTCCTCAGAGAGAACGCTGAGCTGTTCCAATGAATACGGATGCTCCGGATCTCTTATATCCCTCACGAAATGTAATCGATTCAAGTCAAAGATCACAACAGTTCAAATTCCAATAACAATCCTCACCTATTAATTGAATTGACCTCAATTCACCTAAGTATAGCATGGCCCTGTTTTAAGCTTCAGAGGAGTTTCAGAAGATGTAGCAACATTTTTAAAGTTATAAAATAAAAATAAAAATAAAAAGATTTTTTAGTAACAATTAAAAATATATAGGACTAATTAGTGTAAGTATTTTGTTTTGGGAGTAGATGGATTTTGAATTTTGTGTATGACGACTTATTGGTAACTGCCCTAAGAGGAATAGATTATTTTAATAAATTTTATTATTATCTATATAATAAAGGAGAAGTGTTTTTGAAAATGTATAAAATGTATAAGAGACACATTTCATTTGGATGGCTCAGATGAATCCTAAGTGTATATCAATGGTTTAGATCAATGGGTGGTTCCCGCCCAACACATTTCATTTCATTTGCATGTGCCTCCCTCAGTATCTACCCCCTGTCTCCCACATACCCTCTGTCTACCATCTGTCTTCCTATGCCCTCTATCTACCTTCCCTCTCTATCTCCCTCTCTGTCTGCCGTCTGTCTCTCCATTGTTGAATTCCTTGCTCTGTTTTGGGTTTTTGGGTTTATCTTATTGTATTGGGTTTGGATTTTGAGTTATACGGGTGATATTGAGCCAACTGATATATATGGGTGATATGGTTTGAGTTATACGGGTGAGTTATACGGTTTGGATTTTGTATTGGGTGTGTGCAGATTTGGATTACAGATTTTGCAGATTTTGTATTGTGCAGATTTGGATTACAATTTATCTTATTGTATTGTGCAAATTTTGCATTTTATTATGGTGTCTTCTGGGTGTGTGCAGATTTGAATGATATATATATATATATATATTGAGTTATTTGAATGATACACCATGCAACAGATTTGGATGATATAGATATATGGAAAAGAAATTCTGCAAATCAGACAAATGATATATATATATATATATATTTAGTTATAGGGATTATATCAGACAAATCTATAGTTATTGAATTCAAATTCTGCACAGACCAATCTATAATATATGGAAAAGTATTTTTAACTGCTAGGTTCAATAGAGTTTTTGAAAGCATGACTTTAACCAATTCACTATTATTATTTAGTGTTGGAAACATGACTTTAATTGCTGGGTTCAAGAGAATTGATTCGGGTAATTGAAAACATGACTTTAGTATTCTCTCATTGATTCGGGTAATTGTTCTTCTTCTTGAATTTTTTTTTTCCTCTCTCAGCTTTTGCCTTCATTAGAGCTTCTGTGGATCACTCTGA